ACTTGTAAGCATTGCTCATTAACGATGCAGTAGTTGTTTAGATCATTACGATTAATCAGTATAGCTGCTTTTGGCTTTTCGTTCGCGGCGTATATTTTAATGCTGCTAGTAAAATCAGTAATGTAACCCTGGGAATTAAAGTACGGTTCGTTAAGACTGACGATATCAAGTTTTAAGTCTAAGATATCGTGATTTAATTGAATGTTGACAGCCCTGGATCGATGGAGGTTGAGATGGCCGAAAGTAAGATCAACGTGGGTATTAATGTCCATAGTTTATCCTTTTAATTTGCTGATCTCTGGCACGTTTGAGTTGGGGGCAGTCTATGTCAAATGGGCTGTGATTGATGTCGTGGATGGCCTTAAATTTTCTATTGGCTATATCGCAATTAGTGCATAGCTTAAGATTTTGGCATTCCTTGTCTTGGTGACTAGTCTGAGAACACTTCCTGCAGATTTGCTCGTTAGCACAATCCCTAGCTAAGTGGCCCAGCTGAGAACACTTGAAACACTGTCTGACACGGAGATGTTCCCTGTAGAAATACCTGCTCCATCTGATGTTCAACTTTCCGATGTTCATAATTTTATTAAAAGCTAGTAGTTGGATTTCCACAACCCAATTATTCTTATCCTTACCGGCGCGCAGGGGAAATTTAACATCTATATCTTCCTGTTCGATGATATTCTGATTTATGAGCGCTTCTGTGAGTTCTTCCTTACCAATGTCCCCATCAACACCAAAGACAATAATGGATGGATTAATCAATTTCGGTCTGGCAATCCCATACTTCTCCATCAAATTATTTCCTCTGAATTCCTGCTCAAGGATCTTCAATTCACGCTCGGTATTTGTCCGTATCAAACTTCCCCCGTCTCTGATCTTAGCCAGTCGCTTCACTCCGATCTTGAGTTTGTTTGGATCAAGGCTACTCAAAATGTCTGATTTTGTTTGCTCGCTAGTTGTATCACTGTTGGTTGGTCTTATTAGAGCAATGTAATCTTTGGGCCTTGTCTTTTGAGGCATCGGGGTTTCCCGTTCTTTGTATCCCTTGAGAGCGTCGGCGTATGATCGATCATTATTTTCGGCGGTGTCGTTGATAGCGTGTTCCGTGGTATCGAGCTGCACTGTCGAGTCGATATTTCATTACAGCCAAATTAGCATCTTTCTTACCAATAATTATCAATAATTCCGTCACTGCCGTAAGAATTTCGGCTCTATCGCCGTTAGCTATTTTGCAGGTAGATTTGTATAAAACGTTTCTTATTTTGGTCTGCAATGCCGTGCCGTCCGTCATAAAATGTGTTTGGACCTGCCCAATCATCATCACCAATGTCTGGACCTCCATTATCACCAATGTCTATAACCTCCCTTGCCTCCGAAGATGTCGTAGACATCTCCTCGGGCCACTCAGTACTGACAGTCAAATAAGAGATTTATGGAAAAAACCACATAAACACTAAAAGTAATTACCAAGTGAATAGAATAAAATCCGAGGGTGCTAAAACGCTGCAACCAATACACAATATATAAATGCAGTTAAAACACAATAAAACTAAATGTAAAATAGTAATAATAAATTAAAATCAATCAATAGGGAAAGGATCAAACTTGATCAGTTCCAATAAAATACGAAAAAGAACAGCAAGAANGAGTCGATATTTCATTACAGCCAAATTAGCATCTTGCTTACCAATAATTATCAATAATTCCGTCACTGCCGTAAGAATTTCGGCTTTATCGCCGATAGCTATTTTGCAGGTAGATTTGTACAAGACGTTTCTTATTTTGGTCTGCAATGCCGTGCCGTCTGTCATAAAATGTGTTTGGACCTGGCCATCCCCCTCACCATCATCAACAATGTCTATAACCTCCTTTGTCTCCGAAGATGTCGTAGACATCTCTTCGGGCCACTTAGTGCTGACAGTCAAATAAGAGATTTATGGGAAAAACCACATAAACACTAAAAGTAATTACCAAGTGAATAGAATAAAATCCGAGGGTGCTAAAACGCTGCAACCAATACGCAATATATAAATGCAGTTAAAACACAATAAAACTAAATATAAAAAAGTAATAATAAATTAAAATCAATCAATGGGGAAAGGATCAAACTTGATCAGTTCCAATAAAATACGAAAAAGAACAGCAAGAACATAAATAGCGTTTAATGAGAAAAAATATGTTAGTTGAAAATGTACAATAGAAACATGCGTTGAGCAATGCATTCTTATTCTTTGTGTTTGTAATACATAAAAATAGGCAATATACAATTTTGTTTAATTATGATCTTCCTAACATCCATATTTCATAGATTCAATGAAGAAACCGGTCATTTGACCGGCTATTGTTGAAATTGGTATAGATAAAGTGTTGGTATGTTTAGTGTTAAATAAAGTTAAAAAATGGAAGGAGAGCAATCATGGATATGTAACAGTTAAAAGCTTTTGACAGATTTCAACTCATTACATAATTAGTTTGGAATTTAATAACCATTTAACCATCATTTCGTGGTCAGGATTTCTTTTGACGGGAATTTTATAGCACGACATGCAGTTTAACAATTTAACAATAGATGAGAATTTACTTATTATGCAAAGACTTTAAATATTTTAATTTTAGCAAATTTTTGCTAACTTAACTTTCGAACGTAAGAATTAAGTACTTTCAACCATTTTTAAATAAGCTTTATTTTTTTAATATTAATAGTGTTGTTTTATAATTTTAAACCATCATTTTATTAAAAGAAATAATGTTTTTAAAAATAGTCGTTTTGAAATTTTCAAAGTTTGTTATGAATTACTATAAAAGGTAAGCGAGTACTTATAAAATGAACGTGTATAAAAGTAATTGAAACACATTTTTCAAATCATAATTCTTACCCAATCATATTTAAACATCTGTTTCTAAAAGAATTACTCATATTACGTATTCTCTTTTAAAAGCAAGATATGCACATTTTTTCCCGATCAATTTACGAATTCTTTTTAATGTGCTTTTTCCTCAGGCTTAAAGAAAGAAATATGATGCTATAATTGCAAGGAGAAACTAAAAGATCATAAAATATTTCATTAAAAAACTTATCTTAGAAATTTTATTATTATTTAGATTATACAGGAGTAAAAAGAATAGAAATATTTATACATGATTAAGTGGTGTAATTATACTGAAGTGCTTGAAACCTTTTTTTTATCACACTTTTCACAATCATTTTTTCTCTCTCTTGAATTAGGATTATAAGACAAGAAAAATTAGTCATAAACAGCGTAATCGTTAAATTAAAAGAAGAATATAATTTATTTCCATAATTAGTATTTGGTATTAATGGATTGATTTTATAATTAAAATTCTTATTTATGCAATAATCTTGAAAACCATTCACTTTGAAGTAAATAAGATGAATTAGTCAACTAATTAATCTGTCAAATAAACACATATTTTATTGAATTGCTTTTATTAAACTCGTTGAAACTAGGTCCTCTTTAAATTTTAAAGAATGGTGCTTTGTTGTTGGATAAATATGAAGCTTGTCACAAAGATTTTAAAACATATACTTTCCAAAGCAATTTTTAGTTGATGCGTAATCTATTTATCTTATGAAATATTAATTAAGTTAAAATTTTTTTTTGTGACTCATGATTACTTAGTTGATAATAGCTACGTTTAAAAAGTAAAAATGCTCGCATAAGGGACGTTTTTTTTCTTTTTTAGAAAATTATGGCAAAACTATTTTCAACTCGAACTTTCAGAATTTCTCCTCATGAATCAGAATCAAAATAGAATTTTTTGAATTTCTTCTGATCCTCGCTGTCTGAGTTTATACAACGATTTTATATAGCGAATTTTTAATTTATATGTTATTAATTAGACTCAGCTGCTCTATTTAGACTTCTATGCTACTACAAATGCTTATTTATTCGATTAGAACCAGTTTTCATTGGCAATGTTGATGTATATTCTTGTCATAAGTACATTAAATCCTATTAAATGAATAATCCCTAGAAGTTATAAACTTGAAAATACATATACTTGATCGTATAGAAATTTCATTCCCTTAAGGAAATAGGAAAATTGTAAAAGTCGACATGTTACGGGAGCTCAAAAATTGACACACATTCTCAAGACTTAAGGCCTGTTTACGCGGTCCAAGTTCTTAGACGAAGATTGATTGAAATTGATAGAAACTTGTTTTGCTTTGAGCTTGGATCGTATAAACGATCATCCAAGTGCCTGGTCTAAGTCCTTGGACGATAGAAGAGCGTGTTTTACTTTCTATCCAAGTTTTTTCTCCCTTAACCAATCAGCGTCTTAGGTCCTGTAACAACAAGCAGGAATTAGATTATGTCATCTTGTTGTCTGTTTTCATATATTTTAGTCCAAATAAATTGATCTGTTACGGTTTATTCGTGTTATTATGATTTTATTTGAATTTATTTAGTAATTTCAAACTTATATAAGTATTATTTTATAATGTTGAATCGGAGCAATGCGCAAGCTTTTCTTCCGACCAATCAGTGACATTCAAGAACTTGGATAGTTTCGACGAATCATCCAATTTCCTGGACAGAGAAATTCTCCAATTTCTCGGATTCAAGAACTTGGACCGTGTAAACAGGCCTTTACCAGACGTGAAGGAGGAAAACAAGAGATATGAAACAGAAAACGTAGAGTTACCAACTGAAAGATGGAAAAAAGGTGACAAGAAACTAGAAAAACCACTGTTGTCGAGAATGAAACGGAAAAGGAAAAACAAATCTGGGTGAAAAATTAAAACAAGAAAAACAGCAGGGGTCTGTCTCAACCGTCTTTATGCCATGGAATCTTGTTTCGTTCATATGAATTTAGTTTATTTGAAATTTGTTTATTTGAATAAATTATATTTTTAATTCGAATAAAATTCATTCTTAAATTTTCGAATCATTAATGTTTTTTTTCTCTATAAATTTTCTTACATTTCAGAGCTTTCTTTCATTTTAAATGCATTTTCTGAAGATCGCTGATTTTGAGAAAAATTCTTCAGGCTAACACACGGAACAAAAAAAAACTTCATAATAGAATTTTTTGAAATTTTGTATGTAGATATTGTATAATGTTAACGATGTTTTGAACTAAAAGCTAAGGTCTAAGTAGGAATTTGTTTTTTTTTATCAAGCTTTAAGTACGAATATTTGATATTTCTCTTTAAAAATTCAACATTAAGCAATAAAGTTAGTTCTATTTCACTCTCTTTTCGAACTTTTTTAAAGATTTTAGTTCAAAACACAAGTGATCACATTATTAATCAAGAAAAAAAATATTTTGAAGTTTATGCTTTACAATTTGTTGAGCTGTTAGCATGATTTTGTTCTCAAATTTGCCTTTATTTTTAAAAAATATTTTATAAATTTATTATTTTAGGGAACCCTGCTTACAAAGAATAAAATTAAAATTTTAATTCAGCCTTCTTAAAAAATTGTGTAGAAACAGTCGGATACCTTAACATAAAAAAGTAAAAAAATAAATATAGACAGGATATTTTTTCCGGAGACTACTAGACGGTTAAAATTTCTGATATTTAAAATTTTATTGTATTATGTACAGTCCGCAAAAAAAAATTAATCACCCTGAATAACTTTCGTTCTAATGATCGGATTTTCGCGAACTAAGTGTCAATCTTAATGGTTCCTGGGGGTGACCTCAAATATGCTAATTAATTAGTGCTAACTATTAATTAAGTTACGAAATCAGACACAAAAACGTACTTTCTCTGAATAAACATGCATTTTTTTTTACATATTTGGATTTCTTATCTTCAAAATATAGGGGGTAGCCGCAATCTGGGAAATGTGGTCCCCATAGTTTGGTCAGGAGAGCGATTCAAAGTTCGTACCCCTTAATGTTAATTTCGCTTTTTGCGTTTTCAGTCATATTTTCAAAACTAATGAAGCAATTCAAAAAAAATTGCACCCACTCATAAAACTCATTTACCCAAAGATAATTTCATGAAAAAAATAATTTTTAATAATTATTAATTATTTTTTATTATTTAATTAAATTGAGGATGAAAAAATTTTGAATTATAAGGTATGAATTTTCTTTCACCATATTAATCTACATATTTTTCATTTGAGAAATCTAAAGTTTCAACTGCTTTTATTTATTAGAAGCTGAGAAAATTAAAATTAATTATTTTTAAAAAAATAATTTGGCGACAATAAAGAAACATTTAAATGGGGTGATTAATATTAAAATGTGATAAACTTGCGAGGAACTTGATTTCGCGCGCGTAGCGTAAAATTTCATTCATATTTTTTTCGCTAATAATCGTTTGCTAAACTTTTCATTTTTATTTTTTTAAACTATAAAATACGATGTTTCTTTTGTAGTCGTCCAAAAATCTATTTGCAATTCAGAAAAGAAATTTGAATAAAACATTTTAATCAACGAATGTCGAGTTTTATAAAAGCATGCTTCTGATAGAATATGATTATACAACAGATTGTGCTTATTTAATGTTTATTGAAAGAAAACTTAGAATTATTGCCAGCCATCTGAGAATTAAATCTTGGTAAGAAATTAAAAATATTCTACTGATCACACACAATATCAT